CAGCGGCACGGGGGCTGCTGCGGTTGGGAAAAGTACAGACGTTTTAATTTCCAGCTGAACCTCTGCTGACCACTGTATTTTGATTAGAGCTCTGCTTCCTTTTCATCTCCGAGCTCGGGCTGGTGACAACTGCCGCAGCCTCGTGTGCCGAGTGCCATAGTTTATCACCGAAGGCCAACTGCTCTATGAATCCAGAGCCAGCACTGAACAAATCACGCTGTCACCAACGTCAAACTTGTTAACCTGATCTTTGGTGGATCACCAGTGTCAACATTGCATGGGACATACATTATCGGGCCCAAGGACTTTGGGAGATGCGTTTGTCAGGCTGTTCTGTCACAGTCCCACTCTTGACCTTCGCAAAGTAACTTTCAAGGATAAGCCGCCTTCCTCTTAAAGAGAGAAGCTGCCCCCCAGCAGGTCACCCACAGCCAGGGTGGGGTGCGGAGTGAGGATGGGGCTCCCCATGTGGTGGGTGGAGGTCTGCAGGCATAGCTCTGGGCCGGGGGATCTCTGCTTCATTCCCCACCACTCTGTCTCCTCTGGGCTCCCACCTCGCACCAGCTGCTCCCACGTTGTGCAGGAGTCAGATGAAGGACAGCCACTGCTGCCGGGACGGTGGCAGTGTGTCCCCAATGGGCTCCTGCCTGCCGCTCCTGGTGCTGGGATGGGGCTGCTCGAGGCGGGGAGCGGCCGTCGGCCCCCGAGGCGGGCGCTGGGCTCCAGCCCCACGCTGCTCTCCCCGCAGGGTGACCCTGCTAATCAGCTGTGAAAGAGAAAGAAAGCCGAAGAGAAATCTTTCTCTCCGCTAACCTCATCACAATAAAGATTCCTATAAAGAGCTCTTATCCTTGAAGAAAATGAGGCACATAAGCAAGAATAGTAAACAAAAGGCTGTCATTTTGACCTAGGAGTGCTTCATGTTGTTGGCAACTGCCAAGAGGAAACATAAAGAGAGGCTGCATCCAAGTCTCAATTATGCAGAACTATGTGACTGATATGTCAATGAGTCCCCCCGGGAGGAGACCACCAGCGCTTTGCGGCAGTGCCTGCGCACCATCTGCACGCACCGCCATGCGCCGGGCCTGCCCGCGCCCCCGAGCACAGGCGTGCGTGGCATCGGAAGAATGCGGGGGACAAGGTAATGTCATCGGCAGCGCTATCGCCAAAGTCCTCACCGCGCGCATTATCGGTGCGGGCCGCAGAGTCAGGGACTGCGGGCAGCCGGCGGTGCAGGCAGCCAGCGGCGGCCAACAGTAGTGCTGACCACACCTGCTGCAGGCACGCTCCGGGAACGTGGCGCAGGCAGGAGGGCTGCCCTGCCGCCGATAAGCCGCATGGATGGAGATAACATCCCAGGAGGAGATGTGCTTTGCTGAGCATCAAGGCTGCGCACCAGCGAGGCGCCAAAGCGTGGTTGCAGTCTGCAGCGGTGGCGCGGTGCGGTGGGCTCAGGCTGCGGCCGCACGGCCCTTTGGTGCCCGCCACAGCAGCTGGGGCGGTGATGACGGCCGTGGTGGGGCTCCGGCCCAGCAGAATGCAGAGCGGAGGCGGTGCCGGTGCCCATTGGCCCCAACTCGGCTACATGCAGGAGCCCATGTGGCCGGGAACTGCTGGAGCTGGGCTGCAGCCTTGGCGAGGGCCTGAGCAGGGAAGGTGCCCAAGGCCGCAGGAACGCATTTACCCCCACAAACACCTCGCTTCCAAAATAGCAGACGGGCGGCGTGAGGCCGGGCCTTCCCGGGGGAACAATGCCCAGCGGGAGCGGGAGGAAGTGCTGCGGCCGCCCCGCACTGCTCCGTCCCCGCCTCACTCGGGGCTGAGCCGCGAGCCGCTGCGTGCCGGCCTGGCGGGACCTTGAACCTGCCAGAGATTTATTTTCCCTGACATTGGCATTGCATCGGAACATCTGGCATTCAGCTGATAATTGCTGGGGATTGGGGCGGAAGCTGCCTCTCCAGGCCTGGCTCTTCTACAGAGCTGTGTTTTCGTTACTTTTCACTTCTCTTCAGCTGCAGAGCACGGAAAAAACAACCTGGGCAGTGCAGATTGCAGCTCCCACTCCTTCCCTGGGGCTTTGTGCTCCCTTCTGCCTGTGAGGACGTGCCTGGGCCCTGTCGCTGCTCTCCCCACTGCCCTGTGCCAACCCTCCGAGCCAGGGTCTGTGGTTGGGGCCAAGCATGGACCCACAGGGCAATGCTGTGCCACAGTGGAACGCGGTGCTGTTGGGAGAGTAAATCTCCACTCTGGGAGGAGAGATGTCAAAGTGGTCGCACCCCAGGGCTGCAGCTCGCTGCCCATACAGGGGACAGAGCCGTCAGCCCCACTGTGCCTGTAGGCTGGGGTGGCACCGGGGCAGTGCGGGAGGTGGGAAACCCATGGAGCAGCAGTTCTGCCCCTACAACTCGTCCCCAGTGCTTCCCGTGCAGCTCTGCAGCCCCAGTCCACTAGGGCTATGCACCTCGGCTGCCTGCTGCTGGGCTCGCTGCCCCATGGCCTGCCCCGCCTCGTCCATCTCACAGCCCCCTCCCTCGCACCGTAAATCAGCGCAGCCCCAACGTGGGCGCTGGTGCGCTGCCCTGCCCGCCGTGCCCCCACCTCCCCGCAGTTCCTCTCTCCTGGCGCTTTATCTGCCACAGAGGTCCCACTTATCTCCCCTGTCACTTTCTAATGCTAGTTTATGAGCAGCATTTTGTAGCTTAATTATGATGTTTTTCAGCATGGTCACGTGGCCGCAGAAACCAATAAGGCAACTAAGTTGGTCCATCTCGGCTGAGCCTGGCCCCCGTGGGGAGGAGATTGGCCGCTGTCCTGCACCGGGCGGTGTGCGCAGCCGGACCCACACCTCCCCGGCGGCCGCAGCCCTATAAATCCCCCAGCCCGCCCGCAGCGGGCAGCGCTGCCCGGCACCCACAGAGAGTCCTCAAGCTGGAGCTGCTCGCCATCGACGCAGAAGAAGCTCTCCTGTGACCTCGGCCCCCTGCACAGCAGCGCTGAGTCGCATCGCGGTGAGTACTTGGCGGTGGGGAGCCCCGTGGCTGCCTGGGCCCCTTCCCACGCTCTTGGTTCGTAGGGTCTCAGCAACATGGCGGAGGGTGGAGACGCCCGGCGAGGAAGTGGGAGCCATGCGTGGGCCTCCGCTTCCCATCTCCGTGAGGAAGGGATGGAGGCACCAGTGCTAGCTGTGCTTGGGGACATGCAGGGACATCCAGGGATGTCATGTGACACCTGGGGATGCCCAGGGATGCCCACCCTTTCTCCAGGCCCTCTGGCAGCAGCAGGAGGCCCTGCCATAGCCTCGGCCATGCTGCGCAGAAGCGCCAGATCCAGCTGACGGGACGAGGGGGCGGTGAGCAGAGGCCTCCGAGGGCTCTGGGAGTGCAGGCAGTGCTGAGCTGCGTGTGCCTGGCCCCAGCTCCAGCCCAGCCCCTGCATCTTGGAGCAAGCGTGGGGGTTGTTGGGACCCACATGAACTCCACAGCTCTTCCTGGGCTCCTCTCTTGGTGGCTCTGTAGCTCACAGAGGCTCCCTGTGGTGTGGGGCTGCTGCCGAGAGGCTCCACAGGCAACAGGACCTGCACACCACCCTGCACAGGGCTGCTCCACTGCTATTCTATTCTTAGTGTGGGCTCCACGCCGGGTGGCTCTGGAGTGATTCTCTGCTGAGCCCACTTCCTGTTTGCTGCACATCCCTGCCAGCACTGCTTCCTCCGCGGGGCACCGCGGGCCTCCTTGGGTGTGCAGGATGAACCGTAAGGGGTGAGAAGAGTGGGACAACTTGTGTGGGATCGGATGTGCAGGACGGGACATGTGGGATGAAATGTGTGGGATGATCCAAGCCCTGTTGCCAGTGCCTTCCCTGCAGCTCCATCAGGCACCAAGCACCTCGAATCGCAGTGACATGCAGGCAGCGGGACAGAAGGGTGTCTCAAGGAGTGTGGTTTGGCCCCGCGGGGCTCAGCAGTGGACCCTTGTTCTCCTCATGGCCAAACACCCTCATGGCAGCCTCAGTCCATACAGCTTGGAGCGGGCAGCTCCTCCTGCCTGAGTGCTGCTGTGCCCCTGGGCACCAGATGTGGCCCTCCCCCCTGCTTCAGTCCCGGCTGTAATTTGGGCTGGATTTGGCCCTGTCTCTTCAGCTGATAGGGCAGGGAGCCAAGCTGGCTGTGTTCACCTGTGAGCAGGAAACTTCCATGCAGGACAAATGCAGATGATGAATAGAATGTGCTTCTGCACTGATTTGACAGGGAATGTTTCATTAGAGTCCCTTAAAATGAAGCAATTAATTAAACAGCAGCACTGAGCGTGCCACAGGGCAGGCAGCATTGCCGTGCGAGGGCAGCCGGCCAGCGGCAGTGCCCGTGCCGTTCCCGATGGCTGCAGGGGAGGTGCAGAAGGCCGTGCGCTCCGCGCTCCTCAGTCCGGGCTCTGATCAGCTCCCTGCGACTGCCTGCTATGGGGGCAAAGGGTTTGGTCCGGGCAGCGCTGGGAGTGCGGGGCTCTGGTTAGGGTTGGGGGTTAGAGCTGGGGTTGGTAGCATTAGAATTAAGGGATTCAGGACTTGGTGAGTGCTGCAGGCAGCGTCCTGTGCTTGGGTGACACAGCAGCCCCCAGTCCCTTCTTACGATGATTCCTGAGGAGGTGCCCTCAGCCCGGGGCTCCCTCAGTCCCGGCCGCCCCCGGCCGCAGCCCCGGCGGCGTCCAGCTCCCCTCCCGCCCTGCCCTCGGGCTGCCGGGTCCCTGCAGGTCCCTCCTCCCCAGCCCGGCCCCAGTCTCCCGCCGCCCGCTCTCCCAGAGGAGGTTCCCCATCCCCCGGGGGGCTGTCCGCCCGCCCGCACCCGCATGGAGATGCTCTTCCAGGCTCTATAAAGGGCTCTGGCTCCGGCACCTGCGCTCGGGCTTCGCCGCGCCGCTCTCCCGCTCCGCACCCGGTGCAGGGCTCGGGGCCGCCCGGTGCCGCCCCGCTGACCCGCCCGTCCCGCAGCAGGGCCGCCGGCGGGGATGGATTATTCCTATGATGAGGACCTGGACGAGCTGTGTCCGGTCTGCGGGGACAAGGTCTCCGGGTACCACTACGGGCTGCTCACCTGCGAGAGCTGCAAGGTAGGAGCCGCCGGTCGGCGGGCAGCGGGGCCGGGCGGGGAGCGGGGGGGGACACGGCCGGGGCAGGGGCAGGGGCAGGAGAGCCTCTCGCGAGCCGCCCCCCGCCCGCTTTCGTTGGCGGCGATTCACCGCTCGGCGGCGGGACGGGAGAGCGGCGAGAGCCGGGCGGGAGCCGGGCGGGGGGCGGCGGGGCCGGGGCCGGGAGAGGGGACTGGGTGCGGGCTGATGCGGGCTGTTGCGTGGTGCCGGTGCCGACGCATCGCCGCTGTTGGCCGCCGCAGGGCTTCTTCAAGAGGACGGTGCAGAACAACAAACACTACACCTGCACCGAGAGCCAGAACTGCAAGATCGACAAGACCCAGAGGAAGCGCTGCCCGTACTGCCGCTTCCAGAAGTGCCTGACCGTGGGGATGCGCCTGGAAGGTACCGCGGGGCGGCCCGGGGGAGGGTTGGGTGCTGTCCCCCCGCTGCGGTCGCTCTGTGCCCCGCGCCTCCCGGGCCGGGAATTGCCGCGGCGGCTCCGATTCCGTTTTTCCTCCACAAGTCAACGAAAAATTCGTTTTGTCGCCCTGTATTCTGCTTTTCTTTTCTTTGTTTTTGTTTTGTTTCTCCCGTGTTTTGGCTGTCGAGGCTTCAACTTTCCGGGACTGTCCTTGCTTGGCAAAACGTTGGGAAATAACTTAGAATTTTTTTTTCCTTAATCGCACAATTCCAGAAGCAGAGACTTAAGGAAAACGTTAAATATTATGAGACTGACACGAAAACTGCGGGAGATCCGCCGCAAATCAGTTTTTCTCTCTGCGCGGCTCCGGGCAGCGCGGTAACACGCGGTGATCCGCCGAGAGCCGCGCGTCGCAGCGCTCAGCCCCACCGCGTCGCGACGGTCGGGCTTTGATATCCCCGAGCCCTACGCCGGGATTTCTGCCGCGCTCTGCACACGCAAAGCGCGCTGAGGACCGCAGACAAACGGGGAAGGAAATCCCACAGCTGTGCCCGCTCCCCTTCCCCGGCCGCGGTGTCAGCGGGCGCGTGGCGGGCCGGCAGCGCTCCTCGTGCGGTCCGTGCAGTGGTGGCCGATCGAAGAGCGAAGAGCGGGGCCGCTCCGCGCCTTGCGGCAGCTCTGGGCTCGGGACGGGTGCTGGGAGCGAGGGGAGGCAGCGGCGGCGTTTGCGCCTTCGGGGTTGGGATGGACACGCTCCGCTTTCCTATTTTGGGCGGTTTGCGTGCGGTGGAGCTCGTTCGGCCCCGTGTTTTGCCCAGGCTGCGGCACCGTCTCACCCCTTTTTTTTTTATCTCCTCGCTGCTCGCCGCAGCAGCTCACCAAGGAGGAGGCACCCGCAGGCGAACGGCGTTCCCGTGGGACTCTTTTGTGTTAAAAACACGAGCCCGCCTTGCCTTTGTGATCGGTGTTTTTCGGTCAGGGAATCTGAGCTACACGGAGAATCCTCCAGCAAGACAGGACAAAATCCAGAGAGATTTCAGAACGGATCCGGTTCTGAAATGAGAAAGCGGAGCGCGAGGGAGCAGGAAAGCCCCTTCCCTCTTTGTGCTCGCGCTTCGGGAGCAAAGGAGGGGATCGGCGTTTACCACGGGAGGCTTCTGTGAGCACCTCCAGCACGTGCAGGGCCGGGCTCCGCTCCCTGGTCATCGCCCTGCCCGGCCTCGGGCCGTGGGGGGGAAACAGTACGTTAATTGGAGGGCGGGGGAGATCTGTGTTCTCCGCGCACTGCAGTGCAGACGGGGGTGCAGGCTGCGACCCAGGGCTGCGGGCCGAGGGCCGGCACAGTCAGTGGCGCACCCCGAAGGCAGCGGGGCTCTCATAGCCCGAGCGGAAGCATCCCAGCGTCCAGGTACCCCAATATCGAGGCATCCTTGAGTTGCGCGGCTGGGTAAGCTGTTTCCATGAATAAAGAACGAGGGAGGAATCGCAGAGCAGCTCCCCGGGGAGCACATTCCTGCTTTCCTGCAAATGCTGCTCCCGGCCGTGCTGCCTCCCCTCCAGCCTGCTTGGGGAAAGTCTGGGGGCTTGCAGCCCCGCGGGGCACGCGGGGAAAGGGAGGCAAAGGAAGGAGGGGAGCACGGAACAGAGCAGCCAGCAGCCTGCTCTCGAGGGCTGCAAACCCGCCAAAGGCTGTTCCCTTGCACGCGGGGCCGCGCGGTGCCTGCTGGCTCGCTCCCCTCTCGGCTGCCGGGGCTGTGCGGGTGGGCCGGCGGCCGCCATGTCGGGGCCAAGATTGTGCTGCAGAGAAGCACCTGCTTGGGTGACACATTCTTGGGTTTAACTCGAGGCTCGGAGCAGCCTCTGCTGTGCCGCCGCAGCATGCAGGGCGGTGAGGAGCGGGGCAGCAGGGAGAGCACTCCGAAGGATGGGAGAGGATTGCAGAAGGCAGCGCGGTCTGTGCTGCCCCGAATGAAATTCCAGGGGTGGTCCAGGCCCGGGGGCCGTGAAAATGAAAGCAGCGTCAGGCACCCAACTCACTCGCGTTCCCGGGGCTCTGCTCTGCGCTCTTTACCTCCGTGTATTTCATGCACCCAAGTATGCCTTCCTCCCTCACAGTGCAGCACACCTCAACCGGCAGCACAGCTCTCTGGGAAGGGGTCCCACCGCCCCTGGCCCCATCGGTCCCCATCCCCCCCACACCCTGCTTCTGTTCTGCTCACTGCAGCTCTGTTCCTCTGCCCACAGCCGTGCGCGCGGATCGGATGCGTGGTGGGAGGAACAAGTTTGGGCCCATGTACAAACGGGACCGTGCCTTAAAGCAGCAGAAGAAAGCGCTGATCCGTGCCAACGGCTTCAAGCTGGAGACAGTGCCACAGATCGTGTCACCCGTGCAGAACGACTACGGGCTCTCCTCCACCATCCACAGCATCCACGCCATGGCCAAGACCCTGCCGCCCAACCCCGCCGCCCTGACGCCTGCTGACTACGAGCGCGGCCCCTACGGGACCCCCTCCCTGGCCATGACTGTGCCCAGCCACGCGCCGCTCGCTGGCTACCACTATCCCTCCTTCCCCAACCGCACCATCAAGTCTGAGTACCCCGACCACTACAGCGCTGTGCATGAGGCCGTGCCTGCCTATGCGTACCCAGAGACCTACCCCAGCAGCTCCCCACCCGACATCCCCGAGGTCATCCTGAAGCTGCTGCAGCTGGAGCCTGATGAGGCACAGGTGAAGGCACGCATCCTGGCCTGCCTGCAGCAAGAGCAGGGCAAGGGCCGGCATGAGAAGCTCAGTACCTTTGGCCTCATGTGCAAGATGGCTGACCAGACACTATTCTCCATCGTGGAGTGGGCGCGGAGCTGCATCTTCTTCAAGGAGCTGGAGGTAGGGCTGGGCAGTGGGGGCTGGGGGGCCGGCACGAGTGGGGTGGGGGCTGCAGCGTGCCAACATGTGGCGGGGTTGGGCATCCCAGCTGAGCACCAGAATGGTCCCAGCTGGCAACAAGGGGCTCACGTATGTGATCCATCACGGCAGCGGGGGGTATGGAGGCAATCGCAAGGCAGAGTGAGCGCGGTGTCAAGCTGAAGATATAATTGAAAAACGTAACGTTGAGGAATTACGGGTGAAACAATTCTCTCCTTCATCTTCAGGAGGAAAATCGATGCTGTCAGGCAGGGACCTGACAGCAGCCAGCAGGGATGGGGCGAGGGCCCTTCTACCTCCCAGCCCCACAAGAACTGGGGCCAGCAGTGGGGGGGAGCAGGGCTGGGGCAGCCCAGCCACACTCAGCCTTTTTGCATTCTTAGCCCCGGCTGATCAAAGATCTCAAACTGGGGCAAAACCAGGAGATGCATTTTGCAATGCAGCCAAAGAGAGTTGAGCCACAGGTGGGGACATGTGGTGCCCTCTTGCACTGCCCCATACCAACCCATCCTGCTGCCGTGGGACCTGGTCTCAGGCAGGGGCTGCAGAGCAGTCCTCACGCCCAAAATAGCCCCCGGCTGCACAGAACAGTGTCCGGAAGGCACGCAGTGGGGCTGGGTCAGGCTTCTTTCAATCATATCAGTGTCCAGCCTGGATTTTGGGAACAGAGAGGCTGTTGTTTTGCAGGAGATATTATAAACAGTGTAAATGCAGATCTCAGCTGCATGGCCACGTAGCCTTGCAATGCTATTGTCTTTCTGATCGAGTCAGGAGAATGGGCTGTTTCTGTGTGAATCCACATCTGAGGGCTCCAGGCAGGAGGGCCAGAGCTCTCACCTGAGCACAGGGCAGCTCCACAGACCCATGGCTGCTCCCTGCCCTGCACAGCGCATCAAAGCACGGCAGGGTGGGAAATGAACTCTTCTAGTGCCGACTTTATGGCTTTGCTGACTTTATGGCTTTGTCTGTGAGCACAGTGTAAAATCGTGGCCTCAGGGATTGATGGCTGTAACACAGGCAGTCCCCGCTGCAAAGTCAGCGCTTCTCAGGGCAGGGACTCCATGGACCCCCCCACTCCTGGAAATGGCCATATGCAGGTGGTTGCTGCTGCACCAGCCAGGGAAGGGCAGCTAGATGCTTTGAGGAGTCAGGCAAAGCATTGGCATTGCACCAGACATCACGCTAAGCGTTGCACCAGGCATTGAACTGAGCATCACGCTGGCTTTGCACCGCTGTTGCACCAGCACTGCCCCAGCCTGCTGCGGGTACCCCCCAGTCAGCGGGTCCCATTCCTGTTCCCATGTCCGTTCCTGCCAACGTCGTGCTGCTGCAGATCCTTTGCTACCACCTCCAGGGGATGACCGTGGCCGGGGGTGTTGGGGAGACCCCCCCGCCTGCGCCCTGGGAAGGACGCGGGGGGAGAGGGGCAAGCGGCCTCTTGACATCAGTTCACGCGCCACGTCCGCCTGCCGGCACAGGGCAGCCAGATTGAAAACAGATTTAACTTCCCAGATATATCGTTTCATTTAAGGGCCAGTAATTCTGTCAGTCTGCCACTGACAAACGAGGGTCCCCATGCCAATCCGCCGCGAGACTGATGTCGCCGCGTTCATCTTGTGTCACCAGGCGGAGAATTACGGACTGCGCTGGCCTTCGGAGGCAAGACTAATAATGCCGCGCAGCAGAGGGGGATTTGGGGGCCCTCTGTTTATCGAGGGCCGGCCACAGAGCCGCGGCGCGAGGCCACGCGGGCGGAGGTGGAAGAGGTCAGCGCTGACGCCCATAAATACGAACTTTAACTGAGTCTAGATGAGATGTGTCAGGGCTGAGGGAAGATTTGCAGCGGCTCTTCAGGAAGAAAAATATGGGCCGGGGGTGAAATATATTTTGTAGGGTTGTGAGTCTCAGGCAACTTTGTCCTTTCAGATGTAATTTTTTTATATATATATGAGGAGAGAGAGATGTGCACGCACACACTCGTACACACACGTTGTGTCTGCCCAAGGTTCATTTTATATACCAATATTGGCGTGGTACTGTTTAGATAGGTGATAGTGCTCCGTGCACATATAAATGTCATGTACACATCGTGTGATGACCTTTGGGTTTGGATGAGCAGCCAGGAATGTGCAACAAACTGCTGCGGCTCCAGTCAGAGGCCACCCAAAGCCCTGAGTGTGGGCACATAGGCTCATAGCAATGGGCATGTGGTGAGGGGCACAATGGCTGGGCCCTGTCCGTGGGACCAGTTTCCCTCGCTCACTGGGAATGATCTGGGAGCTCCCGCTGGTCCCATATGCATTCGGCTGCTCCTCTGTCTCTAGCACACATGGGTCATGTTGACCCCATCTCCTGGCCAACAGCCAGTGCGTTTTTGGCAGATTTAAAATCTCCTTCTGGCGGTGGACGCAGCAGCAATGTTCAGCATCCCATGCACTGGGGTAAATGTGACCGCTTCCCTCAGCCGTGTGCTCCCACAGTGATGCAGGGAAGGGGCAGCAGCCTGGGGCTGAGCACAGCTCTGCCTGCAGGGAGCTGACCCTGCACCGTGCTCAGTGGATTCTGCTTTGCGCTGCTCATTGTGGTGGTGTCAGGGCAGTGGGAGTGATTCCTGCATCTGGCTGTCACACCTTATGTTCGTGTGGGTTTTAATTGAGGTGTTTGGTGGATGGTTAATCCACTTTCACGCTCCCAGCAGTGGTGCTGGCAGCTCGTGTTCACACCCAGGAGCTGCCTGTGCTGTGGGTCGGGGAGCACCTGCAGGAACAGCGCCACACGGAGTCCTGGGGGCACCGCCTGCCCCTGGCAGCCCCTTATTGCAGAGCAATGGAATTTTCCATTGATCACAGACTGCCATCACAGAAAGGCCTTCTCTGCAGTGGTGGAGCTGTGTGAGCGCTCACGCCATGCAAGGAGCCCTTCACTGCCGTGTTTTGTGCATGGGTTGAATGCCTTCTTCAAAAAATAAAGGTCACCGCTTAAAGACAGCTTGCATCAGGTCCTCCATGCAGCACTCTGCTGAAAAGCCTTGACGTTAAAAGAGGACGATCCTTTGCTTAACTTTTGCAGGCGAGCAGGGAGTGTGCCGCTGCACCAGAGGACCAACCGCCTCTGGATGGCCACACATTACGAGCCCCTGCTCAGCCACGAGCACTGCAGGGTATGGAGCCATGGAGGGGGGGTGCCTTGTCTGCCCCTTGTGGGTGGGGTGTTGGCTCAGGCTGGGCAGTGTGAGATGGAGGGGGGGGCTGGTGGTGTGATGGAGATGTGCTGGAACTGCCCGCAGAGGTGGGGAGAAGGCAGTTAGCAATTGTTCAAGGAAAGAACGAAGATCTCAAGATTGTTTAAATGTTTCCTTTTGGAAAAGATTTTTTTTTTTTAAGCCATTTTTAGCACAAAACCCTCAGTCTGTCCCTTCTGGAGATCATCCCAACGAGGAATGAGGCACAGGAAGGAGGTTAGAAAACAACACTGTGAGACTGAGCATGGGGCTCAGCGCAGCCGTGAGCGGTGGGGTGGGAGGAGGGCTGTGCTGGGAGCTCAGATCCCTGCGCCGCTGCACCGCCTCAGGACAAGGGTCAGCCAGGATGTGGATCTCCCACTTGTTTTGATGCAGGATGAGCTTTTCCCCAGTTCTTCGTGCAGCAGCTGGGCAGAACCCTCCATCCAGCTGTGCTCTGTTGAGCACTGCTTCCAGGCGGCCCTACTGCATCCTGCTGCACCTTGCTGCCATGTTCACCCCCAAAGCCCCCAAAATACATCTCAGTGGCCCCTGGGGGTGCTGGCATGGGATCCATAAAGCTCTTTCTCATCTCATTCCTATTCCTTTTGCAATCTCCTGGCACTGGTTTATTGCAGCCTCTTCAGCCAAACGATGGCATTATCCAGCTCTATGATACCGCATCTATCTTCCTTCCATCAACAGCAAAGAGCAAATGGCACTGCAGAGCTCTCCGGGTGGTGCTGGGGGGAGGTGATTGCAGTCACCCCATCTTCATCTGTGGGAACGATGGCTTTGGCACCTCTCATGTCCTGCAGCACCATCAGGCCTGGGTTGGGTACAGCTCTGCCTTGTGCCACATGCACCCAAACCTATGGCTGGCTCATCTGCCATCCACCACTGGGGCCTCCAGCCCCACTCTCCAGGGAGACTCTGGGAAGTTTGGACACTTTGCCTCTCGAGTTAAATGTCTTAGCATTTCTTTGCAAACCTGGTTGCGTACACGTAACTGCATACACTTAGAGCCGTGCACATTTCTTACAGCTGCACACACAGCTGTGCACACGTATAGCTCTGCACGCCCAACCAGCACATGGCTGTGTGTGGGGGTGTGTGAAGGTGTGGGCAGCCAGGCATGCTGTGGGGGTGCTGGGGTTTGAGTGCTGCCCACGCCTCCCCCAGACCTGCCCTGGGAGAACGGACGCTCTGTTCCTTCAATCTGGAAGCAGCCCAGAGCAGCCTGCAGACACAGAGCCTTTGTGCAGCCCCGTCAGGCTGCAGGGAAGCGGCCAATGGCCGTTTTGTTAAAGATGTTGTGCGTGGCTCTGTGAGGTTCCTGCTGTGTGGAGGCAAGGCAGCACTGATAAGGGGCAGCCAGCATCAGTGGGACATAGATGTGTGCGGGTGAGGGACTGGGAAGTATTTTGTGGGTGCAGTGTGCACAGGGCTTCCACCGGTGGGGACAGATTTGTGAAAAGTAATTCTTTAGCTGGTCAGAGGAGGGAGGGGGCTCTTGGGAAGGCAGCAGTGCACCGTGGGCTCCTGCTGTGAGCCCTCCCCACCTGTGGCCCTGTGTACAAATCTGTGGTACTGTGGGGGGTGGCCCCATGGCTCTGACTCCCCTTGAGCAGAAGTTTGTTGGGCCTCAGGTATCCCACGTGGGCTTTGGTACAGCGCCAAAGCAGTGCCACTGCTCGCCCTGCTGGCAGGTGGCCTCCTGTTGTGGCACCCATTGATGACCGGATTCGCTGCTGTGCTTAGGCGGTGGACACAGATTTCTGACACTACTTCCTCTCTGTTACTGCACCCACACTGTGCCACACTGAGCGCAGCACTCCCGGCCCCGTGGGATGCACTGCAGTACAGCCAGGGCCCAGCACCACGTCTGAGTGCCGGTGCCAGCAATGTGACTCTGCTCTCTTACAGGTGGGAGACCAGATGAAGCTGCTGCAGAACTGCTGGAGCGAGCTGCTGGTGTTCGACCATGTGTACCGGCAGCTGCAGCATGGCAAAGAGCACAGTGTGCTGCTGGTCACCGGGCAGGAGGTGAGCGCAGGGCTGCACTGCACTGTGGAGCTGGGGACTGCTGCTGCCTCCCTTCTGAGCTCACTCCTCTCTCCAGTTTGTGGTGGGCACATGGTGGGGTGGGAGTGGGGCCCCATGCTTGATGCTGTTCCTCCTGCAGGTGGATCTGTCGGCAGTGGCAGCGCAGGCGGGCTCCATCCTGCACTCTCTGGTGCTGCGGGCACAGGAGCTGGTCCTGCACCTGCATTCACTTCAGGTGGACCGTCAGGAGTTCGTCTGCCTCAAATTCCTGATCCTCTTCAGCCTTGGTGAGTGGGGACCGTGGATGGAGCAGTGGGCAGTGAGGGCAGAGCCTGTGTTCGTGGATGGGCAGAGGGGATAAAGAAGCTTTGGTGTCACACTGAGAACAAGGGCTGAGGCCTCACCGCTGCCCTGCCCTGTGAATCTGGAGCTTTGAGGGCTGTTCCTGCTCCATTGTGGCTGTGGAGGAAACTGCATCCCCAGTCCCATGAGCAGAGCCTGTTTTGATCACTCTCCTGCTTCTGCAGAGAAGGCAGCAGCTGATAGTGCCCTGCAAAGCGCCGTGTTGGCAGGGGCAGCCGCAGGGACAGCCCTATCTCCCGGGATGTGCGTCAGCGGCAGCACCAGGAGCACGCTGCTTCTGATTAGGCTCTGCCCGGAGCCTGCGGTCGGCCGAGGCGGCGCATTCACACGGCCGCTCCTCACCCAGACAAAACACGCGGAGCCGCAGCTGAGAGCCCACCCGGCCCAGCCCTGCAGCCCCGGGGCTGCACCCTCTGCCCACTGCTGCTGTGCAGGGATGCGACGCGTGGCCCCATCGTGGCCTTCGTGACCACTGCCACCACTGCCTGTTTGGTGCCATCCCAGCAGGAGCTCTGACCCCCCGGCACAGGGCTGCCAGGCGCTCAGCTGTCTGCCCCGCTGCCACCTCACACCTCTCCCTCCGCTGTTGCTAATTGTGCCCAGAGAGAATATGCAGCACCTGGGTGCTGGGGAGAGATGGGCGTCTCTGTCCCATCCCAATCTCGGAGTGGAGTTTGCTGAGGACATCCCTGGCAGCAGCAGGTCCCAGGGAGCCGGGAGCCACGCAGCTGTCCCCTCCTGCAGCTGCAGCATCTCCTCCTCCCAAGGCATTCTTTTTTTCTCTGGAGCTGTTTTGAAATCCAGAGCAACCAGATATGGCGACTCGCTATTTCAACAGTGATAAGGTGTGGCACAAACAGTGCTGGGAAATGAGGGAGCTGGAGAAGGGGCCATGCCCCACTGCTGCCCCATGGGTTCTGCAGTAGCGTGACCTCCAAGGCTGCCCCATCCCTGAACCCATCCCTGTCCCCATCCCTCCCGCAGATGGCAGCAAGCAGGGCATCATCCTTCCAGGCACCGATGGTTGCAGCACTGCTCTCAGCCTGGGATTCCTCATCCCCAGAGCAGCAGCTTTCAGGGAGGGCATGGAATAAAACAGCAGTGTTTTCCCAGACATTATTTTGCCCCAAATTCAACTTTTTCTCTCCATATTGCAGAGCTCACTTGGAGTAATTTGCCCTTCTCAGGCTCAGCTGTAGAGGATGGGATTGTGTATTATGTTCAGGATGTAATTGCCTTTAACAAGAGAATTTCCACATTTACCACTCTGCCACAGCACAATCAAAGCCAAGCCCCACTCACAAGAGCTGCCATTTGAGTTCTAAATAGATTTCTCTCCTGAGCAGGTAAAGAGATTTAATTAAAATTAGGGCTTCTCAAAATAGCAATATTTATGAGGACGGCACAGGTTAGCTTTGTTCTACAGAAGGGCTTAATAGAGCCTTAATGGATTGACCTATCATTCGATTTCATGACTTACATTCATGAAGCAGCTACTCTTGGGGAGGGGAGGAAGAGAGGCTTTTATAGCCCACATTCCCTTAAGCGTTTGCAATTTATCAGCAGCTTCTCCCAAACAAAAGGAGCTGTGAATAGGAAGAACACTTGAGGGCATAGAAATAATCCCAGGCATATCTGTATGTGTGATGGGAGGCTTTGTCACAGGACAGTCTTTGCAACTGCTGCAGTGTCGCTAAATGAAGTGAGTCAATGTTATTTGGACAACATTCTTTATTCCTTGCAGGAATGAAAAGATTATTCAAATATTCAATTAAACAGTGAATAGGGTCTTTCAGAGAACCAGGTGAGTTCATCGAGTAGAACTAGCTATTGTTGAGCCAACTCAGGGGATAGATTTGACATTTATCAATATAACTTCTTTTTTTTAATGACATGCACAATAACCTTATGCAGATAAAGAGATTTCATAACAACAACCCCGGGTAGAAGGGAGGCGGCCACAATAGGAGCAAATGTGCCACAGGAGTTAAAAGGGAAGGGTGATCTGATAAGTGCCAGGCACACCCCGCAGGCCTGCAGCCCACACCGTGTGGTGTCCAGCAAACCCTGACCACGGAGGCTGAGCCCCCGGGTCCCAGGCCCCTCCACCACCAGCACAGCACATTGCCCTCCCAGGAGCCGCTCAGCCCTTGGCGTGGCCATGCCTGTTGGGCTCCAAAGCCCCAGATAAACTGCAGAACACCACCGCCTGGATCTGAGGGCTCCACACAGCCAGGCAGCGCTCAAGCTGCAAACTCAGTCCTGAGTGTGGACACACGGGGAGCTGGCAGCACGGCGATCAGCAAACTGAGCACCCAAGCTGCAGCACCGGGGAAAGGACAGTGGGCACAGACCCTCCTGGTGCACCCAGCACAGTGCAGGCAGTGCCTGTGCCTGGCTCCACTTCACTCCCCCCATCTCGCTCTCTTGTAGATGTGAAGTACCTGGAGAACCACACGCTGGCTAAGGACGCTCAGGAGAAGGCCAATGCAGCACTGCTGGAGTACACAGTGTGCCACTACCCGCACTGCACAGACAAGTTCCGGCAGCTGCTGCTGCGGCTGACCGAGGTCCGGGCGCTGAGCATGCAGGCAGAGGAGTACCTGTACCACAAGCACCTGAGCGGAGAGGTGCCCTGCAACAACCTCCTCATCGAGATGCTGCATGCCAAGCGGACTTGAGTGCAGTTCCCACATGGACTCTGCAGGGCCCCATGCAGCAGTGGGGCAGGGCATGCACCTGGGACCTCCTCTCCACCCCTCGCCTCTCAGTGATGCTATTTAACCTGTGCCAGTGGAAGGTCCCAGGCGATTTATTTTAAAACGTGGTAAGGACAGTTAGTGGTCGCAGGGACGCGTGCTCAACAGCCGGCCTGCCCTGCCAGCACTGCAGCCCTGCAGACCCTGCACAGTCAGTGCCCGACCCACTGCCTGACCTGGGTCTGCAACATGAGCAGGGGGAAAGCCTGTCCCAGCTTTGCTCCCATTTCTGCTCCTCTCCTGTCATCCCTGCACTCTGTCTCTCTGCCGCTGCCCTCCATTGCCCAGCATGCCCCCTCTGGTGTAGAGGGCATGGGAAGAAGTGAGCTGAAATCCTCTCAGCATGTGGGGTTTCTCTTTGCTCTGGCACCAGAACAGCGGCAGGGGATTTCTGCAGCAGCAAAGCTGAGCCCTGGGGCTAAGAGACCTGCTCCTGTCTGACGGGAAGTCACTGCCTGCCCAGCACAAAGCAGGGCACTGCTGACCCTCAGCTGGCTCCGTTTTCTTAGCGCTTGCCAGTGCCACGTCAGGAACTGCAGTTTCACAGCCCTTGGCACCTGCAGTGCCCAAATCCCACCCATGTCTGGGCTCAGCTCACGTCCAGGATGGCAAGGTTTTGTGTAGAGGCTCCAAGAGACAGTGCTGAGGACAGGAACTCATCCCTGGGACACTTCAGCTGCCCTGCAGCAGGGCAAGAGAAGGTGCAGGGACAGAGGCACGGCCAGGCACCCAAAGCCTGGGCAGATTCCTGGAGCTCACTCCAGCCACCAGCTGTGCCTGTGTGCTGCTGGGGAGCAGCAGAAGGGCAGGACGGGGACAGGGATGGGCACCACCCCCTGACCGTCTGCAGGTGATGCTGGTGGCAGCAGGGCAGGAGGGACGCTCAGGGCCTGGCCTCATGCTGTGGGCACTGGGACAGTTGCAGCAGCACGTGCCAGCACGTGCCCAGGGCTGCAGCTGCGGGCCCTGGCAACACCCTGACACTTGGGCAAGGAGGAAGCAGGAGGGCCAGCGCTGCCTTGTCCCCAGGTGACAGCAGAGCACAAAGTCAGGCACAGATGCCGGTTCTCCTCCTGCACTGGGCTGGGGCTCAGCAGGGCAGCACAGAGGCTCCATCGCGGCCTCCTCCTGCCCCGCGCTGCTCCTCACCGGTGCCCAGCACATGGCCCTGCCAGCTCCACCAATGGATTTGGTTCAGGTTTTTTCTCCGCTGTGCCAGGTGCCGGGGACACACACACTGCAGCTCCACGCAGAGCTGGGGCTTGAGGAGCTCTCGCGCTGCCAACTGCCAACCCCAGCTTGTTAGATACAGAAGAGCATGTTTGTTTTTGCTTTTCAACGTTTGTGCATTTTCCTCCTGTGGTTCAGTTTCACCTTCTTCTTTCTGTGAACTTAAAGAACTGGAGAAAATTGTTTGGGAGGTAAAAGATTTTATTTTCAGAAAATGAAAAGTGTCCTTAAGTGTCTCTCTCTCTTTCACACATCCTTTCCTCTCTCCCATCCCTCTGCCCCTTGCTCCCCACCTTCCTTCCCAGACAGGAGGTTATTAACTTCCATGTCAGGAGTAAACCACTGTAATAAATTTTGCAGTTCATTTAAGAAGGCAGACGTTGTCTTTTTTTGATTGTATTTCTGACACTCCTTTCTGGTGCCGCTGCTCCTCCCCACCCCAGGGCTCTGCTCAGCCCCCCAGCCCCCATCCCGTGGGACCCCAGCAGGAGGGGACCACTGCTGTGGCTCAATAGGAGGGCATCAGTGACTCAGGACCTGATTCCAAGTGCTGCTGTAATTGCCATAGCAACTCTGAGTATGTTTTGCAAATAAGCTTGAGACTTATAGCATTTAGGAGGCAATGGGCAATGCCATGTGCTGAGGGAGGGAGCAAAACCTCAGCAGAGCATCAAGCAATGGCTGTGAAGGCAGTGCCACTGGCAGAGCCCCGAGCAGGGACTCCCCTGCCCCCGACAGCTGGAAATGCTGACACCAGAAGTGGTGTTTCTGCACCCAGATTGTGGTTTTTGGCCAGTACAGAGATGTTTTGAGGGCTGCGGTTTCCATCAATAAATAAATGCCATCCGGCACAAGCTGTGCTGAGACCAAGGAAGGAACACAGCGTGATGGGACAGCCAGCCCATGGGATCACAGAGCCCCGATCCCTCGCATTGCAGCCCTGCACCATTTCCAACCTGTGAAGCTATCGCACGTGCCCACGGAACTGTTCCCAGGGACAAATTACAGGGAGAGAAGGCTGCCTTTAAAAATCAGCATTTACTGTCATCATAACCAGGAAAAAAAACCACGTTTCATGCGCTCTACACACTATAAAGTAACAGGAGAAGCAGTCCAAGGCACAGAATGGAGGGAGTACATAACGCCAGCTGGAGGGGGGAGCAACCAGCCAGATGGGAAACCAGGAGGAGAAGGGAGATTTTCTTGTCCAAAACACAGCCAAAGAAGCTATTAAAGTCAGCTGGTTTAGAAAAGAATTGAAGCGAGCCGCCGTCTTCCCTGATGCCTATGCTTCCCATGCAGCCCAGCACCAATCCTGCCCTGCAGAGCGATGCTCTCCCCCTGTGTGGGCACAGCCCTGGGCACAGTGCATCCCACACCACATCCTCCAAGTGAAACCAGCTCTGGTAGTGGCACAACCAGCGCTGGCAGCAATGTGGTGCTGGGGATGTGTGGAGTGCCTTCAGCAGCACACGGAGCCCAATGGCCCTGTGAGAACCCCCTGCAGCCCCTGTCCTGCCGTGGCTTTCATGATGCTCAGAAGAAGCACAGTTAGCAGCCCTCCATGGGAAGCAGCTCCTCTGCCCACCATCCTCCTGGCTGTTTGAAGAACCACCAGTTTCATGGCACTCAGAAACCTCCTCTCAGAAACCTAAAGCAAAAGAGAGATGGACTGAGCCGCACTGGCTGTGAGAAGGGCAGGGTGGCACCCCGCTGCCCTGCTGGGGTCCTGGGGCACAGACAGAGAGCAGGCAGACTTCTCCTTCAGCTGCTCAGCAGTGACATACACCAGACACACTGCACAGGGCACCGCCAGCTCTGAATGCACCGAATAAAGGTTTCAGCAAGATTTAATGTAAATACCAATGGTATTGTGGAAGAGAGCACTGATTCTGCCTGGGCTGCGCTTCCCCCATCAAGGTACAGGGCCCTCTCTGCCCAGCTGGGAGGGACAGCAGCACCCAGGGCAGGGAGGGACAGGGCAGCCCAGTGGGTTGGCATTTCCCCAGCACCCATGCACGCTCAGTGCCTGGCTGGCTGCAGATCCCTGAGATCCACCATTTCCCCATTATTTTAAAAGAAATCCTACTGAAGGCAGTATTGCGAGAGTTGCAGAAATACTCAATATTGATCACAGAAAGGCTGGCCCGTGGAAACAAGATCCATGTTGCTATGTGTGGCTTAGCAACATATAAATGTATTCAAACCGAATAATGAAATTATCGTGGGGAAACAAAGAAGCCATCACTTGAAGAGATGGAGGATGTGGAGGCCTCTTGGAGCTCTTGTTCACCAAGACAAGGAAGACAGCACTTATTGTTTGTGCAAACATGTGAATCCCCCCAGCCATCCCCTTCTTGCATAATGGGTGTAATGAATCTGAGCAGAGTGCTCCATGCAACGCACATCTTTGTACAGCTGGGCTGGAGCTCATTACTGCGAAAAGCACGCGGCCCCTCCGAGTGAATTGAGTCCTTGGAAGGGGAGACCGAATATTGGGGGTGAGAGAGAGGGAGGCTGTGGGGGCAGCACTCAGCCCCAGCCTGCCTGTGCCGCAGCCACCCTGCTGAACAGCATGCTGTGTGCTCCTGAACCTGGCTGGGCCTTTACCTGGGCTCAATCTGCCTGCACCCTCACACACAGCAAAGTGCTGCCCTGAGCCCTTCTGTCTTGCACCACGAACCCCACTGGTGACCCTTGCATGGGTAGCAAGAGCATGGCTGCACTCAATTACTGCAACGGGGCGAGGCAGATGGATGCCACCCCAGGCCCAGCACCGCTCTGCTGGGCAGCTGCAAGCAGGTCCTGCCAGCCCCCAGCTTCCTCCCTCCTGCCCACGAGATCTCCTGGTTCAGGCAGGGGCAGGCGGTATCCTCCTGCATCTTTGCATAACCTCCTGCAGGCCTGCTGCTGGCACCATGACAATCTGCATTAGAGCTGGCTGGAAGTTTTCAAATAAACACATTTGGGGCAAAGTACATCTCTCGCATTAAACTATTTGGGGAGAAAACAAACAGAAGAGAGTATTCAGACGATTTGTCTCTCAATCACCATCAAACACAGAGGACTACGGCTTGCTTCCCCGGCAGCTGTTTTCCCCAAGAGCTACACAGCATTTTGTGCTGCCAAACAAGCTGAGACGACCATGTGCAATGCTGCCCTGCCCTGGGGTCATCCCAGCATTGCTGCAGCTGGACACTGCTGCCTTGTACTTCATATGTTTAATGGCTGGAAGCACTTATCTTTGAGTCCTGCGCCTCGTTGCAGAGCAGCACAGCACCGTGCTCGCTGCCTTACACGCACACAAGTGTGAGAGGAGGGCTCTTCTGGTTCAAGGAGATCTTCTCCGTCACCCTCAGGCTGAAGCACAGCCCAAGCCGTGGCCCCAGGTGCAAGCAGAGCTGCTCTCCAGGCTCGCAGGGAGCTGTGTGCACGTGGGCCCACTCCAGCTGTTGCTACCCCTGCAGTTGTGTGGTTGGTGACCCAGGGAGAGGGGAGGCACCAAGCCAGGCCCCAGGACTGGCCAGCTTCTGCATGGGCCCTGCCAGTTCTCCTAACCCCAAAGGCATGGCACTGCGAGGCTCCCTTCCATGTGCTCAGGGCTGTGCGTTTTTTTTCAACATATGCTGGGGGCTTACCTGAGAAAGCAAAAACAAGCTAAACAGCCCACCTCTTTACACAGCTGGAGTTTAATTACACATGCGGCTCATTAAAATAGGCAGGAGCAGGTGAGGCTGAGATGCACCAGTGCACGTGCTCAGCGTGCACAGTGCTGAGCCTGGGACTGCAGCACGTTTACTCCCAAACACTGCTGTCTGCCTCGTTCATGTGTCCACTGTGGGGAGGAAAGCTGTAAGGCTTCTGGGTGGCATCTTCTCGAAAACAGTCTAAGCTTGCCCTGCTTAGACACTTAATATGGAGCAAAATCAGAACCTGCTAATGCACTGCATCCCTTGACAAAAGAAAATGTAACAACGCAGAAAAAAATAGTATCAATCCATCCCTGCTGCTTCTTCCCTGCACTGTCTGCTTGAGTGACCCCATCGAGAGACTGCATTGAGAGTGCTTGCAGTACTCATCAGTGACAGATAAAAAATAAAACAAAACAAAATACACTGCATCTGTGTGCAGAGGAGTCGGGGACCTGCCCAAAGCAGGGCAGGGAGCTGAGCTGCTGCCAGCCCCCCCAGCACTGCAGCCTAGCAAAGGTCTGGGGCTTAGAAGGGATTTCTGTTTTCAGCTCTACCCACCTTCATGGTGACATTGGCCTTTCTACAACCTGAAACAGAAGAAGCTAAATGGCTGCTTTTAAGCTCATAAATCCATCCCTGTCTGAACACCCCATCTTTCCTGGCTTCCCTTCTCCAGGAGCAAGTTGCTCCTAACGCCCGCCCATGATTCCTGCAGCAGCTGTTGCTTTGCAATACCCTGTGGCATTAAAGAGCTGCGGCCACCCCTGGAAGTAGCCTGAATCTAGCCAAGCAGCCCAGGGTGCTGGACCCTTCCCACTGCTGCCCGGTGCCTGCACGCATCTGTTGCATGGCTGCTGCCTTCCAGTCTGTGAGCTGCAGCTTCACTGGTGCGCAGCAAATTGCAGACAGGTGGAGGCAGCAGGAAGGCTGCAGAGATGCTGGAAAAAGCCACATGGGTGCTGGGAGACGAGCAGCTATGGCTGAGCTCTGCAGGGCCTCCGGGCACACCCTGCTCCTCACCTCTGCTGCAGGGCATGCCTCAGCACTTTGCCAGGACTGCAGCCACCAAGGCATGATGGAAATAAAACACTTCCTACACTCTGAGCAAAATAACCCGCCCTCCACCCTCCAGTTCGTGCTTCACAATGCAATCAGAGAAAGGAGGATTGGCATAAAATAAATTGAAGACGAAGAAGGAAACGTTACCTGAGGATTTGAATGCTGTCAGCTCTACAGCCTGAAAGAGGGGAGAACATTTGTTAGCAGAAAGCACGGGTCAGTCTGCTGCATGGCTGGAACCCCCAGACCCTCCTCCAAGGCCAGCAAGGCTCCTCACAGCACCAAGCTGCCCTCTTTTGCAAGCGAGCTCCTGCAGTGCCTGCACCCAGCCCCACAGAGATGGGTGCTCTGCAGGGCTCCCTGCAACTCACTGCACCTCTTGGCAGCTCTTCTGCTCAGCCCCAGCCCTGGTGTGACCTGCAGCCTGGGCACTTGCTAGAAGCATTGTGAAAACCAGGAGCAGAGCAGAGAGAACTTCCTTGCGCGTGGAGAAGTCCGCACATAAACTTCTTCCATGTGCCCAAGTGATGGTTAACGCTCCAAGGTGTGAAATTCCTGCTCCCAGCCCCACAACAATAAATATCACCAAACAACGTTTTAAAAAGCTGAAACACAAAGAACATCTTGTCTGTGTTTGTATCTTCACTTGCTTGGTGTTTTGTTGTTTTAAGTGTTTTCAAACGTTTTTAAGTAGCATCTTCTCTTCATCCAAACTATTGTGCAGCTGCCAGCGGCATTCTTAATTCACAGCTCCTCCAGAGAGTTACATGACTCACTTTGGCAGGGAGCAGGAAAACAGCACTGACTTATGTAACGCAGCAAGCAGTGCCCATTAGCCGGGGGTGGCACGACGCAGGGCCCTGTGCCCTGCCAACCCCACTGCCAGGGCCTGATGCTGTACAGAGCCGCTCAGCAGTGCGGGGCTCATGGCTCCACAGGGGCAGAGGTTGGCATGGGGCGCAGTGCTGTGCCCATCCTTGCCCCCCAAGATGCAGGCACCAGCCTGGCCTGCTGCACGCTGCTGAGCGCACCTTCGTTAGCAAGGAAACAAATACATTGAAAATGAAATGTTTAAGCAGCAATGACACACTAAAGTCCTAGGTGACCCTCATACAGAGGAAAGCAGTTTCTGTCTTTGCTTGCTAGGAAATGCCATGGCCTTGGCATTTAGGAAATCTGCCTCCTAATACCCCTTGCATTAGACAACTCAGGCCTCTGGGCTAATCTCTTTAGCCCACGTCTCGCGTTTTGTGCCAGAGAGCTTAACTCTGCTCCCAGTTTACACAGCAAACACCTGGCTGGCTGAGAAAAGCATCACCTGCGAATTCTGGTTGGTGTTTAGCATGAAGGAGGAATGGCATTAACCGCAGTATAAATCACGGGAGATGAAAATATGGATTTTATTGAGTGGCTTCAAAATGATATGCCAGCTATAGAAGTATTATCTATTGGATAAATAAGAGCTGTCTATGTGACACAGGTTTTCAAAGGATAAATATTAGAGAGGGAGAGAGAGATCCTTCAGTGAGAGCCTTATACGAAAGTAGTTGGATTTTATTCTGAGGAAATTACAGCACTTGTAAGTCAAGTGCACAAGGACTGATGATCATTTCAATAGTGGGAGATGGAAGAGGTATCAGAGTAGTCAAATTTAAATTGTTCTCCACTTTAGGCCATACCTTGCTGAGCTCTGCATCAGGCGTCTGCCAGGGAAGTGAAATGGCTGCAGAACACTGGGCTGCCCTCCTTGGTTGGATACAACCTGGCTGCTGCACAGACAGCAAACCCCTGCTGTGTTAAATCTGCAGTCCCTGGAAGAAGCCTCCTGCCTTGATCTGAACCATCCTCTGCTCACTGCTTTACAAACTCAAATTCACTAGTTCCTGTTCATTTATATCCCCTGCCATAGATCACCCTTCCACCACGCTCCTCTCCAGGAGAGGGGCTGCAAGCCCTGAGTGCAGCGGGGAACAAAGCAGCAGCAGGTCCAGTTCCCCACAGCTCAGAGGGGAGTGCTCTCCTTGAAAACGTCTGCTCTGGGGGTTTCCTCCCCACTGCGCTCTCTGTGTGGCTGAAGGTGGACGAATATCAGAAGGCATTACCTACCGGTCTCTCTGGTGCCATGATTGATGAAATCCCCATGGGAATTTTGCCTCCAAAGTTGCCTAGGGGGACAAAGCAGCACAGTGAGTTTGGAGATTGGAATAGAAATATTCATGCTTTACCAATAAACTTTGCATTCCCTAAACATCATCCACTGAACCAAAGGGCCAGCCATAATTGCAAGTATATTCTTGCACCCACAAACTGGATGGAGCATGCAACACCTTTTTTCCCTAAAGCTCAAAAACCTATTTCCCATCACCACCTTCACCTAGTCTCCTCTAGGAAATCCATTTTTAGACACAAACATGTATTCTTGACTGAAAATAGGGCAATGCTGCATAATGCAGTCATGAGAACCCCTTGCTCATGCTCAGCCAGCCCACAGGGACAGCCCTGATCCCTCTGAGACCCACATGCTCACAGTCCCTTGCTTTCCCTGGGAACCCTTCATCCTATGCTGTGCTCACCCTGTGTGCTCACACGGGCCCAATGTGCAAATGGGTTCAGTGCCCTGCCAAGTGAATGCATACCAATATTCAAGCCTTGGGATAAACTGTGGTCTCATGATAGAGTCTGGGCCAACAGCAGTGACAACTCTCTTTACCTCTGTTGGTGATGTTCTTCACTGGAGGGTCTTTCTGCACAGGGTTTGAAGAGGCACTCACAGCTGCAGGACTCGGTTTCCCCGTCTCCCAGGAGGTGGTGTTCCTTGGACTTGATAAGTAGTTGATGGGATGAGAGCAGTTCTGCAGTGACAGGGAAGAAATTCAGGTCAGTGAAAACTGTAACATGTGTATTTACTGGATCCAGATCCAACTTTAAAGATTGGTTTGATCTACACTGCTACCCCTGGGACATGAGCTCTCATCCCACCCTGGTGCAGAAGGCTGTCTCCTAATCTTGGTCGATGATCTTGGGTCTGCATTGTCCAACAAGACTGCAAAGAAAGGAACCAGCCTCTGTTCTTCCTACACAGGACAAGTGGGAAGGAAAATAAGACTTCTTTCCAACATTATCCCCTTAAAGGAGCCCAAATATACGTAGCTAGGGCCCTCCTATGATGGGTGAAGGATGAACAAAGGGGGGCAGCAAGGCTTCTTTGTGACTTACTGTGAATGAGAGTGCTTTTTTCTTGTCCTTCATCCTCTGGATGGCATTCCGCACCTGAAGAAGAGCAAGGACATTACAGAGGGACACAGCAACTCAAGCAGAGCAAGACATCCTCCAGCAAGACACAGACAAAAAGCAATAGCTATCCCAGAAGCACAGTCTGTGCTATGCCCTCTGTTGCATGAACTACAATCCCAGCTACTGCTTCACTGCTACTCTGAAGAGTGACAAAGCCTCAGTCAGGGATATCTCTTACCTCACTGTTATAGATTGCATAGACCAGGAATATATAAAGGCCCTGAAAAGGAGAGAACACAGAAAGTTAGAGATGTACAGCTGCTTTGCTGCTACTTTCCATGGGAGGAAATGAGTTTGATGCGTATTAGAACAGTTGAGGATGAGGCTAAGGGGAAGAGGCAGACACTGGGCACAACCAGGGGAAAGCTGGGCTAGAAGAGCATTCCTAAAGTCAAGCCCGAGAAAAGTTTCTTCACAGAGAGTCCAAAGGAGAGGAGGTTTCTGTTCCAGTCCCTCTTCCTTTTCCTCTCCCTCCATCTCACCTCTTAGCAGCAGTTCAGACACTCGGCAGAAGTTGCTTTGTGCCTCTCTGGAGTCATTTAGGGGGAGCCGGCATCTCCAGCTGGGCACCGCTGCTCCCCTCACCCAACACTCTCCCACACTCCTCTTCACTCATGCATGCAAAATCCCTCCAGAAACACCTCCTTCAGATCTCAGAAACAGAAACCACCAGGAATTTGTTGCAAGGGAAACTGAAGTCCAGGAAGGAGCACTCCCTTCCCGCTGAGCCCATGGACGGGGACCTGGGCCATCCTCCCACAAAACGCAGTGTGATGCTGTGGACAATTTCTCTGTCCCGTGTAGTGACAGACCACTGCGTGCCAGCAGGAGCCTCTGATGCCTGTTTAGGGGGTATTGATTCAGAGGCTTTCTGCAGCCTGGGTAAAACCTTCCCAGACTGGCACCCCATGGCTCGGGATGCACGGTCTTGGCCCCCCTCCCTCCCACCAAACTGGTGCTCCTGTATGAAAGTACTGGGCACCAGCAAGCAGCCAAATGCTGTGCCACAGCCCAAAGCTCTGTTCTAACCCACAGCTCGTGTCTCACACAAGCTATACAGCGGGAAGGACTCTGGGCACAGCCCGGAGCGAGCACCACCTGGAGGCCACAGCCAGGGGCTAATTACAGCTCCAGACCAACAATTTTGGCCTTAAGGCAGCCCTATCTGGTCCACCAGATTTATGTTATATCTGTAGGGTGTTTGTTATCGCAGCTAGATAAATCAGCTGCAGCAAGAAAAGTAATCCATCTTGTCTTCAATGAGCCTCGCTCTTCATCTGCGAGCTCTTGGCAGGCGTAATGGTAGCAATACCCTGGCGCCGTGCCACGACCTGTCCTTCAGACAACAACGCTGGTCACTCCTCCAGAGCAGATTTCTGGCCAGGCTGCCAAGGCAGGTCTTCCTTGAAATAATCATTCTGTAGGAAAGTGGAGTGGGGGAGGGAGCGCTGAGGTCAGCGGGGAGGAAAGCAAGGAAGAAGAGGAGGCCCAGCTGCAGTGGCGGGCGGAAGCAGAGCTGTGGCGCAGGGCTGCACCAGAGGAGCTGCTCTTGCCCTGCTGCTGCCCACGCCGCCTCCTCCCCAGCAAAGCAGAGCCGCCATCTTCCTCAGCGGCCGCCATCACGAGCAGCTCCGGCTCCACTCACGGAGGGGTCAAAGAAGCAAGCAGCCATCACTGGGGAATAACTGCTCAGCACAGTGCTGTGCAGTCCTCCAGATTTGTCCCAGGAACTGCTGGATGAATGGGAGATACATGAAATAGCTTCAGGAATAAAGGCAGCCGGCCCGAGGCCGTGCCACAGGCAGGGCACAGCGGCAGGAAGGGCAGCACCTCATTCTGACTGTGTGCTGCCGGGGTCAAGGCTGCGGGGCAGGGTCAGAGCTGGAGGGGGGCACCTCAGGAGCAACCAGAGCACCTCCAGTCATCCCACCTGTATCAGGACAGCTCGTGGCACCGGGGTCCCTTCCCCACTCTGTCAGCCCGGCTCAGTTCTGGGCAGCCGGCTCTGCTGCTGGTGCTCAGCAGGTGCCCAGTGATGTAAAGCAAGGGTAAGCTGTCAGTGAAGCACATAGAAACAGCTTTTTCCTGCATCTGTCTCACTCAGATTTCACAGCCCAATGCCTTGCAAGGCTTTTCCAGCTGGTTTCTCCTGTGGTGGCAGAGGTGTGAAGCCCTCACAGTATCAGCAGAATTGGGCAAAACAGGAGCCCTGGGCTGACCCCAGCCCCGATCTCATAGTGGTAGCAGAGGGGCTGCATTGACCAATTACAGGTTTCTTGCCTTGTTAGCTGGGCAGGACAGGGACTGCTGGCTCATCTTGGTCGGGTTTTGGCCACAGCACTGCAGCTCCCTGGGGAGCAGCACCTCACGATGCTGCTTCTTGCTGGGCTGAGCTCTCATGCTGCCTGGCTGGAGGAGGAGCTGCCAGGTGTGGTGTCAATGCACAGAGTAACCTTGAAAACAGTCTTCACTTTCCTCAGCTAAATAGAAAGCAGTCAAACAAACAACTACAGCAGCAGAACTTTCCAGTACAACACCAGCACATAAAGAAGCACACCAGCCTTAGAGGAAATCCTAAGGCGATCTATAGAAGCTGTCCTCAATAGGCCAGCCAGAAAAGGAGCTGAAATATGACGTTTTTATCCCAGCTTTTTCTCAGCTCCACAGTTGCCCACCAGCATCAAAATTCCTTTTCTAGGGTAATTTCCAAATTGACCTGAACTTAGCAAAGGAGTAGAAGGCAAACAAGCACTGCATATTCATGGGCAAACCCTTGACAGTTTGCCCACACAACCAGACTCACACTGAGTATTAGGAGAAAGAAGAAAAACAAAAGAAGCAGTAACTTAGAAAGCAAAGGAAGAAAACAAATCTTTATCCAGCTACCATCTCTTCTCCTGTCTCACCCAAGGTGGATGTTGCTACCTGCTATCTCTGCTATCATTGCTGTGCTTTCCGTTGCATGACAGCATCCAAAACATAGAGACAGATGGAGGACTTCTACAACCAAAATTTCAATGGCTTGGAGTATAGTAACCAATTACTCTTGAATTGGATCCCCTGGAGTAAAATTTGCCTTCAAGAACTGGGCAAGGGATTCTGAAAAATAGACATGTGAGTATCTAGTACAAAGCCACAGAACTGACTGTGGGTGAACGCTGATGTTATTTGGACTGGTCCAGTCTTTGTAGCTGGGGCTGGGCTGAGGCCATGTAGATTCTTTGCTGCCAGGAACTACCTGTGTGTAAAGATGCCTCCCTTTTGCCTTGGGATAACTATCTCTCCTGCAAATATCAGGAGCAGTGGTGTTTAGTGCTTCTCTAGCTCCATCTACAGCTGCTTTCTTTCAAGGTTTGGAATGCTTTGTCAGCCAGGTTGTTGATGCTTTGAATTGCACGTGGCAATTCAGCAAGCCCTTATGATATTTTGTCACCATGTGTCCCTGAGGCTCAGCCTCCTGAGGTCATGAGAATAGTTCCACCTCAGTGCAGAACAAAGCACTCCTTGCTGCTGTAACTAATACAATTTACTTTGCTTTCTTAATCACTTAAACACTGGTTAAAGTTTTATTCTTTCGAAGAAACAGTAAAGTTGGAAGAAAAATGAAGTTCCCTAATGTAAGAAATAAGATTTGAACTAGAAAGATGTAGCACCAGTAGGACACTCCAGAGGCTGGTGCAGAGGGGACATCAGATGGATGAGTTGCACAGGGCATATCTTTCATATCTTGGGAGCAGGAGCTTAAGTTTCTCCAGATAAAATAGCACAACAATTTGGGAAACTCGGGCTGGACTTCAAGCCTGACAGTTTCCCAGCTGGTAATGCAGGTGGATTGCACTGCAGCATGAGAAACAGCAGGTACCTGCTTGGCTGTGAGGTGAGGATGAAGGTGGCGCAGGACTCACCTGGAGGGAGTTAAGCACGATGAAGACGTAGGCCCAAATGATGCTGAGGTGGACAAGAATCCCACACACCCATGTCAGTCCCAGCACAGGCAGCAGCACCAAGATGGGTTTGGCTGTAGCCCTGTCAGAAAGTAAAGCTCAGAGTTACTTGGGCATGTTTAAAAGCAGAAGCATTGCACTGGCACCGTACTAGGCTGTGGAGCACTGTGGGTTCTGGAGCACTCTGCCCTGTATTTTGCAGTTTAGAAGAGAGCTCTCCTTGTTTTTACCCAGGAGACGGCTCTGTACCCCCAACAAGCGTCTCTGACGAGGTGCTGAGCAAGCAGCACCCAAGATGGTTGCAATGAAACATTCCTTTGCAAGCAAAATTAGAGGAGAAAAACCAAACACTTCACTTCCCAGCCTGCGATGTGCCAGCCTTGCTCTTTTTTTATCATTGAGAGTTAATAAGAAGGGAGCTCTTTGACGTCATTAGCCATGAGAAAATAGCTATTCCCCTGGAGTTGCTGCTACAAGAAGGGCTTCTGTAGTTGTTTTACAAGCACATGGATGTCACCCTGCCCTCCTGCACTGCCCTATCTTTGTGCCTCTGTAATTTCGGGAAAATTTATTTATGATAGAGGGGAACAATGCGTGTCTAGCAGGGGTATCTGGCGCCAGCTAACAACAATAAAAATCCATAGAGATGATAAAGTAGTGACTCAAGCAGCAGTTTTTAGAGGTCTCCCTACATTCACTGATTACAGAAGTCCATGTTGCCTCTCCTTCCCCATGTAATTGCCGCCGGAGCTCCTTTCAATCCACCAAGTCCCAAGCATTTAGAAAATGCTTTTTATTATGGTAAATAGCCCAAAGCTCCTATACTGGGTACATCTTCTGGTAAGCGTGTACAAGTGCTATGGAAGTAATGACTTTGAACCACAAAGTTCTGTGGAAAGGACTCCCTTTTTTGACTCGGATCTCTGTGAAATTCCAGGAAACCAGGCACTGCATGTCCCTTGGCTCCTGGAAACACTTGAGGCTGCTCCCTCACTTCCCTGTAGTTACTGTTTTACAGGATGTCTGCACACCTGACAGCAAGCTGCTCAGCAGCACAGAGGTTTAATGTTCTCAGTGGTTAAGAGTCCAGCAGAGGAACTGCCTTTGAGCGATGCTCAGCCACTCTAGAGGAGAAAATCCTTTCTGTCCAGACAGCTTCAACTCAGTCTGTCATCACATGCAGTGAGACAAAGACCCTCGGTTTAACAGCATTTCCATTTCATTCTATACTCCTTCAGCCAGTGCTGTGATCTGCTTACCATATTTGTATTCCAATCTGGTTCTCCAGGCTGCTGTTGGGTGTCAGCATCTTTGCCCTCCTGCGAGCACTGGACACAGTCACCACCACCACCCGGAAAAGCACAAAGGTGTTCACCTGTCAGAAAAGAGCCAGCAGAACCATTAAGCTTCAGTGATCTGAACTCCAGTGCGATGAGTCTCTTTTCTGGGAAGTCAGTAACTAATTTTCAGAATGTGAAGAGACGTGTTATCGCTCCTGAGAAAAATGAAATACCTTATAGGGTTATCAGCACAAGTATCAGATCTGTACAAACTGATCTCAAAACCTCTCCCACAGAATGTCTTGGTAAGAGGCTGCTCTAGCCTCCTTCAACGCTGCACCTTTTTCTGCTGCCGTGTTGTTCTGCTGTGACATTGATAACTACTTCAAGGATGATATTCCCATATGATGAGCAGATCTTTATTTAAGGTGAAGTCACATTTAGCCTACACATTTATCACCATTCCTAGTCTAACAGACAAAACAGAAACTAGTCAACACAATTTTATTAACTATTTTTTAATATAAAAAAATCTGTTTTGATTAAAAAGACTTGTGGAACTATGTGTGAAGTTTAACAAAAATTCCCAACTCAAAAACCACCAGGAAAGCCAGTGAGCAAGCATTTAGCTGCAGAAGTGCTGGGATTGCTGACTCTGCAGTGCTTTCCTCAAACCAGGATGCAGGAATCAGACCTGCCAGGAAGGCTTTGGCACTTACTGCCAGGATGAAGAGAACAGGCCCAACAAAGGCCCAGATGGTATTGGTCTGAACATTCAGCCAGCAGTGGTTGTCTGCCACATAGTTATTGAAGGAAGTTGCAAGGGTCACACCCACGATAATGGCTGGAAGGCCTGCACAAATTAAAAAATACGTATAAATAAAAAGATAAAATAAATTAGAACCCAGAAAAAGCAAGTATGACCCGAGCAGATCAGCTGAGCTCTAGAAAATTGCTTCAAAACCCCAAGACCCAACATGCTGCAGCATGAGCCAGCTCAGCCTCCTAAACCCCACTACAATGTGAATTTACTACAGCTGAAATCTGCCCCAGCTCTACAAGACCAGATTTATATGCTGTCAGCATCACTTTTTTTAGATATAAAGCATTACAAATCCTGAGCCCTGACCAAAGTAATTTACTCAGACTGCTGTTTTAACAAAATGGACGATCAAAAACATAAAACAATGCAAAATACTGTAACTACTTTTTCAGTATGCAACCAGGTATGTGTTTTGCAAGGTGCACTGACCTAAAAAGGCTTCTCTTCAATATAAATCTGTTTATTCCAATGAATTTTATGCACCCAAAGGAATCACGCAGAATGAAGACTGCTTAATCAAGAACATAACTATATTTTAATAACAAATACAGTAGCGATTCTCTACAAGAATTTACCACGAGCTTCTTCCTCTTGTTCTTCGTATTGAACCCTTGGTTTTAGAGAAATAACAGAAATGCTTTTTAGCTTACATCTTGAGAGTGGTGATTTGATACATTAGGGTATGAAAGCCTCTGAGGAACAGTGACAGCAGGCTCTCATATTGAGCCAAGCCAAGCATTGGTCTGACTGCACCACTTCTGGGGGAATTTCTCCTATTTTCTGAAACGTTTGCTAAAGAAAATAATTGATGCATGTTTCTGAGTCTGCAGTGCAGAGGAATCTGTAGATACCCCAGCCTGTCGCGTAGTAGAACTTCATTCTCCTGTCTTCACTCATGTTGACTGCTACCACCTTACTCCACAGGAGAAGCCCCTCAACCAGCATCCACGAGAAGGCTGCCATGAATGAGAGATGAAGGAAGGCAGTGACCAGAAAACACAGCACCTGGAGAGAAATCACATGCTCCTTCAGGAAGAAAAGTCCTCTGGAAAATTCTGAGAATGTGCATCCAGGAAGAAAACTACAACTCCTACATTGCTGTTCTACAACTGCTTGTATTTCCTGAAGGCTTTTATGGTAAGAAGCAAGAGGTGAACTTTCCTGACAGATTGCACACTTCAAACACAGAGTCACAATTCTTTCCTAGATGCAAACTGCAGGTAGCTAATGAAATGTTAAAAGAAGGAATTAAACTTCTGTTAGCTCTGCCAATGATAACACCTCAGCAGGACTGGTCCTGCGAGGGAAACTGGTCCTGCGAGGGTATGTTTTAGTGAGCTTACCTGGTTGGCCTTGGCCAATTCACTGAACATGAGCAGAGCTTCTGCTGCAGCTAATGCAAAGATCAGGTTCTTGTGTACAGTTGTTCGTTCATTCTTGGGGACACTGGGGGAGGAGACATGAAGACCTCAGCTGCAGGCAAGTGAAGGGATTTGAAGTGTTCTGAAGAGTGCTTGCTGGGCTGTGCAGACCTGCCTGGATAATGTGTGATCTTTCTACTATTCACTGCAAAGATGACAGTCCAAAGAGGCAAAGGACTGCCACGGTGCACAAGCACTTGGTGCTGGGAAGCACTCAGCTCAGCCCTTGGCCAGTGCTCTGAGGGACAGGCAGGGAGTAGGTGGAGGATTCACTGCTATACTCACACGGGGCAGATCTCTGTGCTTGCTGAGTGAGAAACAGTCTTTGCACTGTTTATTTCATAAAAATTAGCTCTACCGGAGCTTTTATGGGAAACAATGTTTGTCTGATAAATGCCTTTCCACGGGCACAGAGGTGTGAGCACAGCTCATGTAAATATCTCCATGGAAACCACAGTATTGCATCCCCTCCATAGGCAATGCCAGCCTCTCCTTTCCCTACCCTCTGCTGCCAGCAACCGACTGCAGCTCCCCAGCTCTCCCCCGCCCATCAACAGAACTTGACACTGACAAGCTGCGCTTTCTGCACTTGTACTGAGGCAAAATATCAAACAAAAACTATACAAAGGCCACAAGTAATAACTCTTCTTACCCAACCACCAAGAATAAAATGAAGGTAACAAGCAGGGCACAAAAGGAAACTCCACATCCGATAAAAGTCAAGGTTTGCAGTGTGAGCTCCTCCTTGGTGGTCCTCTGCCCCAGTCATGGAACAACAAAAGGCAAAACCCCCGTGAATTAACAACATGCTGCTTGCAATTCCTGCACCCACCCCACAGATCAGTTGAGAAAGGCTGCTTGCTCACCTTTATCTCATACACTTGCAGCAGCACAGCGAAGTTTGTGGTGTGGTTGCAGAAACAGACAGTGGAATCTGGGAGAGATGTCACCACAGAGCAGCCAGCTGTTGACCACATCCCACCAGCATCCGGGCTAACATGTGGCAAAAGAAAATGAAAACATATTAAAATGACTGGCAACTGTAACAGAAAGCCAAGGCACTGAGGGAACTTCATGTGGAGTTGCAATGAGGAAGAAGAGGGTAACAGATGGCACTTCTAGTGGTTTGGTCTCAGCAGGTTTGCCTTATTCAGTAGGCTTGCACAGGAAAATTGTCCTGAATGCTTGTGTACCTACGAGCCTTTCTGGTAGGTAACAAATCAAGGCTGACCATTTTAGTTGTACATACCTCATTAAAAGTCACTTGCTTTTGAGTGAGTTTTCTAAAGGAGAGAACTCTATTCCAGCAGATAGCAGATGTGAGAGAATTACAGATCCTTACTTTTTACCTTTACATTTATGCTGTTATGTTTGTTTTTGCAGTGAAAATAAAAGCTTATAAATCTGGTGACCTGAACAAGAGCAAGGCACCTGAGGCTGAAGTTCCAGAAGGCACAGATGGGCCCCACCAGCTTATCAGGCAGGTCCTGCAGGAGAGATGGAAAAGAAGAGGTTGCACAGCCACACACGCATGCGATGCAGACTGGTGGCAGCCATTTGCCAGGCTGCAGTGTAGCAGAGCAAGGGCTGTCAGTGTGAGACATCACCTCCCAGGGAACACGGAGGGCAAGGTAAGAGCTGGGTGTGGGACACACAGAGCCCAAGAGTTCTGGAGGCCTTGGGCAAGCTCATGGCACTGCCTGGGGGTTTGGCTGTGCCGTGCTCCTAGCTGAGGTGGGGGATGTACCTGGGTATGGTGCTGCAGATGGTAGCGCACAGAAGTGCTTATCTCCTGGTAATCGCTGAGCACGGTGGATGAAATCACAGCAGTGCCCACCGCAGTGCTCAGGTACCTGCGAGGGAAAGCACGCTGCTCAGAGAGCGCCACCGGGCGTGCTCAGAAAACAGGACCGTGCTTCATACGAGACAGGGCGCGCGATGCCTCCGACCCGCCGGCGAACAAAAAGCCCCGCGCTCCAGCAGCGAGGCTCGGAGCAGCCGCGCGGGGGCCGCGAGCAGCGTCGTGGCGGAGCGCCGGGCCGAGTGGCAGATGCGCGGGCGGCCGTCGCCCCCTGGCGGTCAGGAGCTCCGTCCGGCTGCGGGGCTCCGCACCCCGGCTGTGCTCCTGACGGTCAGCGCAGCAGTCCCGCAGTCCCTAACTCACCCAGCGGAGAAGCTCTTTCCCAAAAGCACGCAGGGGACGTTGTGGTGCACGTAGCACGTGCTGCCACAGCACAACTCGGGCCGGGACGCGTAGAGGCGTCTGCCTCCCCAGAGCCCTGACTGCTGGGCCCCTTTCTATTTGCCTCCCCGGAAATCTAGGGGCGAAGGTGACTGGGATGGGATGGAGCAGGGTGGATGTCAGCCCAAAGGAGAGGCGCTGAGAAACTCAAGAAACGGACTTCAAAATGGACTCTCCCCCACCCCACTGGTGCAAGGGGGTTTCTGCTTCACTCACTTCTGTCCTCCATCGGAGGCGGCCACGTCTTGAAAGGCAGCCCTGCTGCCTGGGCCGGGCAGGCAGTGCTGCAGGGAGCTGTAGCCAAACCACATGTTCTTCACTGTGACCCTGCGGAGACCTGGGCAGAGAGAGCACTGTAGGATGGGTGCAGGCACACAGGGCAGCCCAGGTCTCAGCACTGCTGCCTCAGGACTGGATGCACAATGCTGTGTGTCTTGTGCTCCCCCACCTCCAAGCTGTGCCTGTGGAGAAGCTCCAGATAACCTCCCCCACTGCCCCTCACCCTTTCATGGAGTGTGTCTCCTCCATGTACTCCTCCAGACAGCCTGTGGGCAGAGTAAAGACCCTTCCTGCTGAATGTGCTGCAGAAGTGCCACAGGAAGAACCAGCAAACAGCAGGCTTCGTGGCCTACCTTTGGCTTTCAATCTTTGAATCTCTTCAACAGGGATTTCAATGAAGTCAGGCCTGTCCTCCTCAGGGCTCTGGATCAGGTATGTCTCACTGCTCAGCTGCTGACTGCTCAGCTCCAGCTTCCTGACCTCTATCCCTGTAGCAGAGGCAAAGTCAGGCACTGAAACAGAGTTCAGCCTTTGTCCAGAGCTGCTGTGCAGCAAAAAGCTGTCAGGATATTATAACCACAGCCAAGAGTCACAGCAGCAGATGGACCCTGAGCCGGGTCCCCGTGAGATGCTCCCCTGTTCTCTGCACCTTACAGTGCCACTCACCAATATTTTGATGCTGGATTCTGATCTTTGTCCTCCCTGAAGTCAGCAGTGGGGCCAGAAGTGACACCACTCTGTCACAGAGCTCAACAACAGCCATAGGCCCTCCGACAGCCTGAAAACATGCAGAGAATAACAGAAGTCAGTACCTACACTGCTAATTCACAGTTCTCACACCTCACAATAGTTTTCACGAGTGCTTAGTCTTTGTCAGAAGAAGAGATGTAGGGGCTTAGCGCTTTTGCTTTGCTTTTCTACGTATGTCCTCTTCAAAGGCAAACATTCCCAGTTCTTTCAGCAGTGGTGAAAAGACTTGCAAGCAGGGAAACTTGCCAGTGTTCATAAATAGCCACTAAACAGAAAGCAAACAAATAAAGAAGCTTCTGGGAAGCAAAGAAACAAACTGCATTTTAGATCAGACTCCTGAATTTTGGTGAAACTGTGAAATGACCCTGAAAAGGTTTTACCACTGGAGGCGAGAAGGTGAGTGGCCCAACTGCAGCACAGGTGCCACCGCTGTGCACAGGCAAAGGCCTCCCAGCAACAACAATCAGGTCCTTCCTCCTTTTGCAGATACATCTCCTACACCACCTACGCTGAGCCAGGGCTGGTTTTATGCCACTATCAGGAAGCTGTGAGTAATTGTGGACACAAACTATCCAGCATCCTTTCATCTCTGGAGGTTCCTGGCTCCCTCCCCATGCTGGCTCAGTTCTGAAGCGCTGTCCTGGCTGAGCTCTGTCACAGTTTTCCCAGAGACAGGTGGAGAATGTGGGCCATACAAATACATGCGAGCTGCAAAAAAGACCCGTGTGAGAAGGGAAAAAGCCAGTGAAGAAAATCCTAACGGGGGTGGGATGATGGAAATTCCTCACATAAAGTTTGATGGTGATTTGAACAGTATGGGGTCTGGTGATAGACAACTTCTTGGCAGCCACTTATGGAAAATACAACAAACTGGAAGTGCCCTGCCAGAGACAGAAGGATGTGGGAACAAGGAATCTACATAGCGCCAGAGTCCGCAAACTGTGTGCAATTCTGCAAATCTGGGCTGTCAAAGTGGAGGAGCTTGAAAGAGCCGAGCTGGCCTTTGGAGCAAACCCTTCTCTGAGCTGGCACAAAGGCTGTGTGCCCATCCTCACTGCGGTTACTTGAGCTCCAGAGTATGGCCATAAAGGACACGCGACTATGCAATGAAGTCTTCAGCCCACAGTCATACTGCAAGCCAAGGACCTGCACACAGAGCAAATGAGCTGATGAGGCACGCAGCTGGCACATCACCTGGCTGATGGATGACCACGTTTCAATATTCTGCTCTTCCAGGATTAACTCAGTCACTTCCATGTAAGATTGGCCCAACTGCTCCAGCATCTCCAGCTCCTCTCTCTCCTGGACTTCCACGTCAGCAACTTCCTTTAGTAACTGAAGCACCATGAGGAGGTCAGAGGATGCCACAGGTGTCATTTCTTTCCTCAGAACAGTTGCCAGGACATCAAGAGTACCGAGAGCGACAGAGAGGTTCATGTCTCGGACATTACTTGTAAAGATGTTCTCAGGAATCTGCTGTGGAAAGGAAATCAGCATAGCTTAGGTCAGTGCAGAGCTGTGATCTCTGCCCAGCTGCCAGCTATGCAGTGTGCTGGGACCACGAGCAACACATTGCGTGCCCTAACCCTAACACCACCAGCTGGCACACCTCAGGGCAAGGAGCTCTGCCCTGACATTTTGAACTCTTTCGTCCCCCTCAACCTCATCCAACCCAAAGCAACAGTTTGCTTAATCAGAGCACAAGTTACAGCTGTGCTGGTTGCATTCTCCAACAGCAGCTTGGAAGAGGCCACAGGCACAATTTTTAGCAAAGTTATGTCAAATAACAGCAGAAATCAGCAACCTCAACAGCTCCTGCTGCTTACAGTGCCCTGAAGCCATCAGCTGCTGCAGGACTCACCACCATCCTCTTTGCAAGTGTGTTCACATGGCTGACAAGCAAATGGCTGGATTCCAGCTGAGCTTTTTTCAATTGCCAATATGCATCTGAGAAGAAAACAAAAGCATAACCATAGCTGTTCTGTCTAGCAGTGTGGCTGACATATGCTCTGCTCAAAAGCTGGGGAATGCTCTCAGATGCTGGCTGAGCTTGTAGGACAGCCAGGACAAGGAGACCTCACAGCTGCATTTTATTTCTAGTACAAGATCCCATCTGGAGAGACAGCACAACGCCTTTGTCTCCTCCCCACTCCCCCCACCACGTCTGGAGATGCTGGAATTAGGAAGCACCCTGCAGCATGGTATCCAGAAGCCACATAACTTTATAAGGACCACTTCACTGGTGAGTAACAGTATAATCCATCAGACCACATACTGACATAGCAAAGTCACTGCTAGGGCACGTTTTCTGTGTAGTCTCTTCAGATCAGACACTGGGCCTCCCCACTGCTGACTATGAGCCTAGCTTGGACCCCCAGGAATGAATGCTGTGGAACCAATGAACGAATAAATAACAGATGCCGTACCCTTTCTGTAGCGACAGATAAAAGGCAAAGATTGCAAACAAGACGTGTGACGGAATGCGCTGCTGCCAACTTCAAAAACTCGACATTCTTCAACAGGCCCTGTAGAAACACACAAACAGAAGGCCCACCACTCCCCAAAGACACGTCATGCCCAAGCAGATCTTGCTTCCTGTAAGCAAGCCGTGAGCTCTGTTGAAGACAAAAGCTGTGAACTGCTCTGAAACTAGTTGCACTGCTTTGCTGAAGCAGTGCAGAGACTGGGCCCAAGGTGCTTCTAGCATCCAGAAAAAATTGGAGGAGGTGGCAATGCCAGGTCCTGAGCTCATATGTTATCAGGACTGCCAAACCAATCTGGTTGACAGACAGACCCCACCCCCAGCAGCCCATGGAAACACCAGGTATGCAAACCCCAGAAACACCATCACTGCCAAGTAAGCATTTCTCATGGAAGAGAGAATGAGTTTCATTAGCTCAGGGCATCAGAGCAGCTATCTTTGCTAGAGTGACTGCAGGGGTTTTGAATGACCAAGGGCTTCATGAGAGTTATGGCTCTAAGGACAATTTGGAAATTGCTCATCCCAGCTCTGAATCTTGCACTTTCCTTCCCAGAGGAGATGGTCTTTTCCACAAACTGCAAAAGTTCCCTCACCGAGGACAGGATTTGTTTCTCAGGCCATCCCTTGCTGACCTCATGCAGAGGAAGGGAGGACTTACCTGGGCAAAGAAACTGTGCAGTCACTTCCTCAACAGTGCTTTCAATCTCCAGAGCATTCAAGCTCCACCCAAACACAAGCTCTTGTTCTACCATCCAGCACGACCGAACATTCTCAATCTGCTCCATGCTCAGGACTTTCTGCCAGATATGCAAGTCCGTGATGTTCCCACTGAAGGACTCTTTTGCCTTGAAGGTGCCCCCCAGGGAATCTTGATCCTGCCCAATTATGAAAGTGCCCTGGCCGTAGATGGCCTGAGGGGCAGCCAGCCCTGCAGTACACAGGCCGCTGGCCGATGCCCTCCTTTTACCATCAGCATAGATGGCCCAGGTCCCATTTTCCTGCTGCCACGTCACACAGAAGTGATGCCACTGTCCATCCGCACGGAACACAGGCAGGTATGGGGAATGGTGCCCATGGACAATGAGAGCAAATCTGACAAAGCCTTCCTCATCAACAAAGCCACGGAGCTGGAATTCGTTAATAAAAGCTGGCACAGCATAGGAAAAGACAGTAGCAATCTCCTGAGTCCTGGTGTCCCACTGGAGATGGGCACAGGCTGTGACAGCAGGCAGCACTGGGAAGTCAGAGAGCACCTTCACATATTTTGTGTCTGTTTTGACTCCAAACACCAGGACTGGCACAATATGGTTCCCTAGAAAGAGAAATTCCAGCTGGCATGAGCAAGTTTTGCCTATGATTCTTCTTCATCTTCCACTTATACTCACGTCTCCATTTTGGTTTGTGCAGGACCCCGTCCCTTTCGTTCAGCCAGACAGAACCTCTGATGTGGTGGGACTGCAGCAGTTTGCTGAAGGATGATTGCTTGCTGTCTGGGGGCTCAAAAAGCAGCTGAGCAAAGCGCTGGTCACAGAACCTCTCTGCATGCCACCAGTCCAAAGCAGTGGGCACATATTCATACATGTGTCTCAAGGTCTCTATCATAACAGGAGCAAAATCTGAAGGAAAAAAACACAGAGTAGAGCGTGTGCCTGAGGAAGCAACATCCAGCCTGCAGGATGCACAGTGATGGGCAGAAGGCAGCGTAGTTGGCTGCACGAATGTAACTTTAGCTACAAAATAGAGACTCAGATAAGTTTTTTTACTTTCACTTCTGCAGTGGAACACTTTTAGTGCATTGTTGCTCTGTGCTGAATATTGCTTGTAAAAACAGCAGTTGTGATGAGAACACTCACCTTTAGAAGTCTGATTCTCAGCAAGAGCTGCAGAGGCAAAGAGGCTCCTGGATAGACTGCCAACCTGTTGGGAAGGCTGTTCTGTAACACTCCCATAAAGCACCGACACTGTCTCAAATATTCACATTATTAAAATTATTGTAAAACTCACCAGAAAGCTGAAGAACCAAGAATCAGGTCTCAAGTCTCTCATGCTGACCAACTGGCAAGCTTTCAGCCCTTGCTAGAACAAACAAGATATTACTGGAGGTGCACTGCAGAGGCAGAAGCATTCTGCAGAAAGACAATCCGTGGAGCAGGGCTGTTATTCTCAGAAAGTATGGAATTCAAACCAAGAAAAGGGCTCTCTGAGGCACCTTTCCTGGATGTTGTCCCACCAGTTCTCAGTTCTCCTTGAAGAACAGAAGGTATCAGTCTAACATCTGTTTCCAGGATACAGAGTAATTAATGATAAAACGTATATGGATGTGTGATATCAATAGACGGGCAAGTTAACCTCTTTATCTGCATTAACTAAATAAAAGAGCCATCATAATTACATCGTTAAGCAGTGCCAACTCACGGGTAGCTTTTCACATCTCTTGTAAAGTCCGAGGGAACACAGCTCTGGCACAGTTCCTGCTGACCTGCAGCCCCATCCTCCATAGTGTAACACCTGTCTGTGCAGGGCACCCTGCTCCAGAAATTGGAGTGCAAGGCTGCATAAAGCCAGCAAGGGCGTAGATAAGGGTTTGTAACAGAGACAAACACGGGAACTGGCAGTGCGACCTTCAGGGCAAACAAGCCCTACAGCTGTCTCTCAGCAGTGACACCGCGAGCTGTGAGAAATCTCTTCGACCCCAGTGAGGCTCTCGCTGCACTGTGTGTACAGTAAAACTGCAGTAAAAGCACTTTGCTGCTAAGGGACTAAGGAGATGTGCTCTGAAGCCCTGACTCTAACGACGTTCTGAAATGGTTCAGCAGCGACTTTACAGAATCAGAACCACAGAATCACAGAATTGTAGGGGTTGGAAAGGACCTCCAGAGATCATCGAGTCCAACCCCCCTGCCGAAGCAGGGTATCCCTAGATATCTTTGGTGAACTTGTACCGATTCTTTTTCATCAAAAAAGCTTGAAAACCCTTACGAGCAGAGCGCACAGCTCCCCGCCCGACAGTGCTACCGGGGAAGTTTGGAGCGGGGGCAGTGAAATAAGCGGGATACGGGGAGCTGGTAGCGATGCGCGGCGGGTGAGAGGGACAGCTCCGCCACAGCCGTCGAGGAGGACGGGGCGGCAGCGGGGCGGGCAGCGGGGCTCTGCATCACCGCCCTGCTGAAGCGGGGGGAGGCCCCGCTCTGCCCCGCGGGGACACCGCGCTCCGCACCCCGCCGCCCGCAGCCCGCAGTCCCCTCCGCAGAGCGCCCAGCCGCCGGCCTCACCCGTGACGCGCACCGGCGCCCGAACGGCGGTGGCGACGCGGAGCCCCGGGCGGAGCTGGCTCCGACCCCCGCAACGGAGCCGGCTCTGCGCGCGCCCCGCGCCCCAGCCCGCATGCTGGAGGGAGCTCTTTCCAGGCAGTCGCCGCTCCGTGAAAGTCCCCGGTAAAGCTACTGCAGGAAAGCTGGTCCCTGGCCCTGGCAGGAAAAAAGAGGCAGTGGGGAATTACCGTGGATCCTTCTAGCAGCGAGCGTCGAACAGGAGCGTGCTCAGGAGATCCGCCTGAAGAAGATCGGCCCTAAAGGGATGACCGCGGCGCGGAGTGCGACAGGCTCACGAGAGACAGGAGCCCCGGCGGCACCGTCGGCGCAACCCTGGAGTGACGTCCCCCAGCTTCACGTCGTGGCATCCCCTCAGCGCCGGGATCCCCGCAGCAGCCCCAGGGCCGGATCAGGCCAGCGCGGAGCAGGCGAGGGCTGGAGGGCCACGGGCAGCGCCATGGGCAGCGCTGCAGCCGCCTCGCAGGGCCGAGCTGCCCTTATGATTAATGCCCATTCACTTTTGCTACAGCAACAGGCGCGCAGTTCCCACTCCTCCCTCTCTGCGAATGCTTGAATCACACCATGGATTCACGGGCAACTGGCTTTTGTTCTTCAGGGTCTTCGTCCGGGAATGAAGGCAATTATCACATCTCAGCGCCTCTGCTTGCCGCAATAAATCTCTCAGAGAAGAATGGACCTTTGAGACAGCTGCTCGGGGCTGCTTAGTCACCGCCGCCAGTTGGGAAGCGGCCCTGGCGCACACAGCGGCACGCAGCGTCCAGGGCCGCCCCGAGGGGCTCTGCAGCGCCCGGCAGCTCTGCCAACCCTGCTCGGTGATGGAGGGAGCAGCACCCGAGTCCAGCCCGAGGACCTTCCGATGAAAAAGTGCAAAGCACTTTTCAAACTTGCAGCTAGATAAAGTTTAATAAGAGCAGTTACCCAGCAGATAGCAAATTACCTTATTTATGCCCGTGCTTCAGATTGAGTTAACCAACTTTTTGCAATGGGATTAACTGTAGTTCCCTGATAGAGTTAGAACTAGAACCCAGACCATGGCCTCCAGCCTCACTCCTCTTTATTACAGACAGCATCCTCTCTGCACGTGCAGAGGTGAAGAAAAGTTTCCAGTGCTCAGTGAATGCTGCCTGAGTTTGCAACCTCATCTGCACATGTTCTTTAGGTTTGACTTTGAACTAATTCCTATAATCACACACTATGCTTTGGAAGGAATCAAGGTCGGCTCTAGCAAGCTTTGTCAAGAATGCTTCATAGGCATTGTAAAGGAAGAGCAGCAGCTCCAACCACATGAAAGCTGGTACTTGGCATCTGTTTGCTTCTTGCCATGGCAGCAGAGTCATCCCCCCCAGTTCTGGTAATTCATCATTGTATCTGCACTAATTCACACAAAACAAATACTCAAGACAGTCAGCTGTCTCCTTAAGGCATCTGCAGTTCCTAAAGTCAGCCTTCATTCCATACATCTCAAAATCAATTAGAAATAACAAAGTTCTTAGTGTTAAGAGATGTCCGTCTAGTGCAAAAAGACCTTGGCAAGCAGAGGTATGACCTCAGGACAGTAAGATGCTGAAATTCCAGTGTACTTTTAATACCTGCAAATCTCTTTAATAAGCAGATGAGCAAGGGGCAAAATGTGTCGTGCAGCTTGGGTGATGCTGTCACTCTGAGTTAGCTTATTTATAAATAGGTTGCAATTCTGTTTACACGTAGTCAATTAAAAAAATCAGCTCAGGTGCATTTTAGGAAGTGTTATCCTTACCAGCTAGTAAACCCTGATCTACCACCCTCGAGGCACATCTTTCACACAACCCACGGAAGGGCTTCCCAGCACACGGGCCAGGAACACGTTAATCTTCATAAATCAAATAGTTGCCAAGTGGAGTAGAAAGCCATGTGTCCAAATAGGATGTATTGAAAAATGGAACAAAGTGATGTGTGTGTCAAAGATCACTAGGTCATGTTGCAAGGCTGTCCCTGTGGAGTTATCCTTCAAAACATCTCCCTAGCCCAGCTGTAGGTGTTATTCCACTGTGACATTTGTTTATTTTCCCCACCTTTTATTGCACAAAACTGGTCACCTCTCTGACTCAGCTCCTCCTCGCTGAGTTTATTGCATCCCAAATTTTGTTTGAATTAGATTCATTAGAAACAGGCCTTGTCAAGTGCTGACTTAGGAGGCACTGGGAGAGAAGATTCAGACCTACCTCCTGCCCACTAATTATTTCAGTTTCACAAATCCGAAAAACAGTTGCTGCTGTTTGTGCCGATGTCTCACACTGAAATGAACGCTACAGTTCAGTTCTGCAGTTCAAAGATCCCTTGGTATCCTTACTTACCTGCATATGGGGGTTTCCCTTTGCTTCTGCAAGGGGCACTTGCCACAGGGCTTGGGAGGACCTGAAACAACACTTTCCATCCTTACAAACCATCTTGAACTGTCTCACTGTTTATTATTCAGAAAGGAAAGTAGAGCAGTTGCTTCTTCTCTGAGTACTTGAAAGCGGACAGTTGTGAGCACACAGATAAGGATTTGAACCTTAGAATCACAGAATCACAGAATGTCTGAGTGGAAAGGAAACCACGAGGATCATTGAGTCCAACTCCTGGCTCCATGCAGGACCACCCAAAATTCAAAGAGAAAAACCTTCTGCCTCCCCAAATTCAGACACTTTCTTGGTGAGTGCAAAGCCCAGATGTCTCTCACACGCCAAAATTAAAACTCCTGGCTGCTTTCACAGGCCACAAATGCTTCTCCTTTTCAGTTCCACTAACAAAGCCTTCCACTAAATGCCATCCACCCTAGCATAAAGCATTGCAAATTGGCAGTTTGTAACTTCCACAAATTAAAGTCTGTGGCAGATTTAAGGCTGAGAATGGGCCGTCTACCACTGCAATGGCAAGACTACTAATGGATTTCTGAGTGTGTTCTCAGCTTGAATATTTGACATATCCCTGAAACAGACCCTTCTGTCCTTCCCACACCCCTGTAGGCTGGCTGTCCTGCTAACCCCTGCTGGTGGAAGGCCCACAGCGCCTGGCTCTGCTCCTGTGGTGCCTCCAGGTCAGCTGTCTTGAAGAAAGACCCTCAGTATTCAGCAAGAAATTAATCAATATTTGGACATGTGCACTGCAGTGATCCACTCATGGCACAACTTTCCATTGCTCCAGCCCAGGACATCCCATCTCACTCAGCAGAAGTCATTAACTTGCTTGCTTGTGAACGTTAACTCTCACATGGACCGAGCTATTGGAGGCATCAGTGTCTGCAAAAATCTACACAATTCATTCACCGCCTCTGGATGAAGACACAGTGTCACCACTTAACATCCCTGCACACATCACCCCAAAGACTGGTCTGTAGTTACACAGCCAAGCAGCGGGCAGAGAATGCACAACTTTCTCTTTGGAATTTGGACTGTATGGATGCCATTTCACACTCACAGCTCTGCAGAGACACAAGTATGTCCAGCTAATTCTTCAGGTTTGCAAACAAGTCTCTTTATTCTGTACAGTAAAGGTCTGCAGTGACTTGCTTTTATGGCCAGACACCCACATGTGTGGCAATCCCATTATTTGTCAAGTTCTATTTTCTCTCCCACTCTCCTCCCTAGTCTGTCACATCAGGGCTGACCAAACTTCCTGATGCTACAGTCTTCACATCGAGGTTCTGGCACGTTGGGGATACGTGCTTCAGGAAGCGAGGGAAGAGGGCATGAGTTCA